TGTCTGAATCCCAAATGTCAAGTCTGGATCCAATGTCGTCAAGTCTCAAGTCACAACTCTGTCGCTCTATGTCGTAGTCTGAGAAGTCAGGTGGCGAGAGGGTGAGAAGAGAAGGTGGACTTAGAAGAGGAAGAAGAAGAACTCTCTTTCTCTCTGTGTCCAGTACCAACCTGTGAAGTTGGCGTCTTGATGCAGGTACCACGAAGATGGAGCTGGAGCGATGGCGCCACAGGTAAGTACCACTGGCATCCGCCAGTCTCTCTCTCCCAYTCTACGATCTACCACCTACCAGCGCCCAGCGCTGAAGACTACAGCTACAGCTATGGCGCCCAGCGCCGAAGACTACAGCTAGCGCTAATACCACCTAGCGCTGAAGACTACTGCAGCGCTCCTCCTGAGTGCTGCGGCCCAAATCCTGAAGACTACCTCGTGCCTACTGAACTACCTACCCGTGAAGTGCATGGGAACTTCCTATGTACTACCGGGTGTGCCTCCTGAGCCCGCCGAAGGGAGGCAGGGGCTGCAGCTGCAGCTCCTGCTCAAACTCGTGAGGAACAGGCTATTTCTGGCCTGTTCTGCATCCCTGTTTACGTGCCTGAGTCTTAGGGGCAGGTCGAAACAATGAGGGCCTGAAAATGGCCCTCCGTTTCAGGCCGAAAACTCTGGGTCTGAAAAGACCCAGAAATAGGCTGAAACGGGGTAGGGCCTGCAGGCCCTCGTTTTTCAGCTTTCAGGCTGAAATGAACGGGGCCTGTAAGCCCTAAGTTTTAGGCTTTTAGGCTGAATGTCCGGGACAGGCCCTGCAGGACCCGTGTGGCTACGCAGTATGCCACAGTCTGTGTACATTTGCTGACATCAGGCCGATATTTATTTTGCTTCGCTAATTTTAAATAGGTCAGAGGTTGCACTGTGGTAGGACTTGTGCTGTAGTGCAGAAAGTCCGCTGTTTCTAGTTGACGAGCGGAGAGAGCGGTGCAAGTTAGGAGTCAGTAGACAGCTGGAGGATCACCCATAGGACGGCCCATGGTCTTCTCATCGTTTTGCAGCAGTTCGGAGAATAGCACAGGCGCCGCAGGGTACAACACACTGTTCCCCTAGTTGACGAGCGGAGAGAGCAGTCAAAGTGAGGAGTTCGTTGACAGCCAGAGGAGCACCTGAAGGAGAGCCAATGGACGGGAGTAGGCTTAGGAGATAGTCTGACGGCAAGAGTCCGTGGGCCAGGGTACAACACACTGTTCGGAGAGTAGCACAGGCGCTGCAGGCCATGGCCACCCAGGCTTCAGGTCAGAGCACGCAAAATGGTGTCGGGCAGATTGTAGACGGTACAGTGGGGACAAGTGCTCGTCAAACAACTGGCGTGCAATCACGCTCGTCAGTCCTACCGTCTTCACCCGAATAGAACGCCTGGTCACTATAGCTGTATTTGGTGCAACTTTCAATCTAAATACAGTGATAATGACCAGGCATTCTATTCGAGTGAAGACAGTAGTACCTGCCTTTGACATAAAAGTACAACAGGTTGAGGTCATCCACTTAATCGAGAAACTCGGCTCCAGGATGCTGAGGACAGGGTGAGGACTCTGAGGAGAGCAAGAGAGAGACAAGCCATATCGGGAACTATGCAGCAAGCCAGAGCGGAGCAAAGCAGATGCAGGGGTCAAAGCTGCAACCTGCTCTAATCTTGTTTAGAAAGGACATGTTGGTTTTCCATGAGACAGTCGTGTTTGGAGAGGGCAAGATAAACTCCGTTCTGGCAGCCCAAGACCACATACTAGCTGCATTGGGACAACAGGGAAGGCCATTGCCTTCCAATATCACACAACCTGTGCTCGGCCACTAGGGCCGCCACCAATGACGTTGCCGCCCCCCATGAGGCCGCTCTGTCCTACGTATGGTTTGAAGCCGGCCGGCGGTTTTGCAGCAGGTCCATCGCAGACCCAGGTGCAAACTTCTCTATCCATTGCGCCTGCAGCTGTAATGCAGGCACAGACATCTTCATCTGCAATGCCTGCAGACGGGGGACAACCCCAGTTTGTCCATAGGGCATCCATAGCTCAGCCAGAGACGTTTTCAAGGGAAAAAAAGAATAACACCTTTACTACGTGGCTGAGGACTGGACTTCTCTTCATTAGGACGAAAGACTCCCTTAAAGAAGGTAGCGCTGCATCCTTCCAGAACCGCTTCGCAGCTGGGTGGTTTACATGGCGTGATCCAGTCAGCGGGACATGATGTAGGGATATGGCTGCATGCGCGGCCACTATCAGTTGATGGACCTGGTGGAGGCCAGGTCGCATGACAGCCAGCAGACGCAGCGAGCTTCAGACAAGCTAAAGGACTTGAACAAAATGTACCGCTGTATCAAAGGGGTCACCAACTAGGTAGAGGAACTGATTATGGTCCCTCGTGTCCCTTATGTCCCTTATGCACGTAGCCACATACCTTCGATGTTTGCCAGAGAGCATCTAGGGGTTTCTGGTCAACAAGGCCACATCCACCAAGAAGGACATCACCACGAGTTTCAGCAAGATGGCACTAACTTCTTAACCTGAAAAAAAAAAATGTACATACGAATATAACGAATGAAATCAGGTTTTCAGAAGTCACTTGTTTTTCCCTGAATAGAACGTACGTTCGAATATAACGTGTGTGCGTTGTCTTTGAATACAACGTACGCATGTTGCATTCAAATTTTTGAAAGTTCGATTTTTCAAAACTAATCAGAAAAATCCAAAATGAAGAATGTTGTACAACAATGCAATACAAACAACTTTTGCCTAGGGGCCCTGTCGAAATTCACAACCAAATTCGAGATAAAAAGTAAAAACGAGGATAAAAATATTTCTTTTTACGGCGGTTTACTGATTTTTTCCCGAATTTCGATTTTTTTGAAACATCCGAAAAACTCCCAAAAACAATTGTTGCACAGAGTTGCAATGCAAACAACTTTTGCCTGAGAGTCTTGGCAAAATTCCGAACCAAGTTCGAGGGAAAAAAATAAAAACAACGCCCATACTACAAGCTTCTGAAAAGTTTAACCCTAAAACTCACTGTATAACATATGTACGTTGTACTCAAATACAACGTACAACGTACCCCCTACGTTGTATTCCAATACAAAGTACATTTTTTCGGGTCAAGAAGGTAGACATAGAGGCTAAGCTAACCAGTGCTAGTCAGATGACCGTTAGTGGGCAGAAGAAGAGGTCCCAGGACTTGAGGAAGAAAGGAGAAGCCCTCCTCTATGTAGATGTTGATGAAAATAAGGAGGACCTCATAGAAAGTTCAAAGATTAGTAGCAGCCCCGATGCCTCAGAGGGAGAGATTCTGGCTGTAGCAAAGGTTGGTGGGACTGGTTCTTCAAGAGGAGGTCAGTCCAAGGGTCGAGGATCACACACTAAGGTCCCAGGTTGGGTCCGAGAGGGTCTCGAGGAACGTGTGTCGGGACAGTTTTCATAATGGTGCCTGCATGAAGTGTGGCCAACGTGGTCACAGGGTCAAGGAAGTCCCACTAAGGTCCCAACTTGGGTCCGTGATGGTCTTAAGGAAAACGTGTGCAAAGACAAGTTCCATGAGGTGTGGTCAATATGGTCATATTCGATCTAGGAGGCCAGTCCAAGGGTCAAGGATCTCGCACCA